AAACATACAGAAATAAAATACATTAGGGGCATGTCATGGGATCCAAATGGAAAATTGTTACTTTAAAATTCACTATATTTGAATCAAAATGAAGTAAAAGAAACTTGTAAGGACACCTGCAAATATTTTGAAACTAGTCCAGCTTTTAAAACGATCTGGAAGAATGTAGAATGATTTGTGTAGGTGATTTGGATGGAGAATATAAAATATCTTACCTGGTATTTGGCACAGTAAAAATAAACTAATTAAACATTGAGTTTTATTTGTTACTCTTTGACAGAAACGTTCCAAAAATGCCTTTCTTTTCATCTGTGACCTGAATATGCGGCTTAGGTTTGACAGAGATGTTTCCTTCTAATGATTGATGGATTTTCTACCATTTATTCTCTAAAGTGTTTAAGATTAAGAATAAAGTTTCATTGCTCTGTATGTTTGACCAAATTCATAGATGAAGCAGGTACTAGTTTATTATGGACATTCTATATTTATTAGTTAGTTTTAGATATTTTTTTTATGTATGCCTTGTGTTTTTTTTTTTTTTTTTATCTCAACACAGTTTCTGAGGTACTACGTGTTGTTAGGCATTAACAGACTGTCCTGCCTCTCCACAGTTTTTCCTCCGTCACATCCAACAGCCTTCGTCATGTCTAAAGGAACGGTGGTTCTGGCCTACAGCGGTGGACTGGACACGTCCTGTATTCTGGTCTGGCTGAAGGAACAGGGCTACGACGTCATCGCCTTCCTGGTAAAGCCCTCAGAAGTAGTGTGTTTGTGTGCAGCAGGAGGTGCTGGACATGTGTTTTACACTCTGTCTTTACCAGCAGTTCGCTGCATCAGACACGTTTGTGCAAACCCGGCAATACAGTGGCCCAACAATGGCCGTGTAAATACCTGGGGTTTGTTCAGCGAAGTGGGGGAGGGGGGGCCAGGGGTGATTTAGAAGTGCACCGCAGGCAGGTTCTCACGTGCTTGGACTTTATTCATCAAATATGTGGGGGATGGGCCAGTAAGAGGCTGTTGACTATGAGGAGGTATACGGTGTGATGTTACTAACTTTAAATAATGCACTTATTAAATATACAGCCTATAGTTGGCAAGGCCTGTTGTAAAAACTAGTTACTGAGCCCATGCCTGAGGCTAGTAAAAGATCAATAGTGCGTCAGAAAAATAGAATGAAATGAGGATCTATAAAAAAAATTTGACATCATTCATTAAAATCCGTTTTGATCTACGATGAAAAGAAAACAAATACTTGCTTGTTTTAGCTGTGAAGATATCGGAGTTTCTCCTCTGTGCACGATCCGGACCGTATTCTTGTTGTACAATTGAATTTAAAACCCATTTGTGGTGACATGTGTTGGGGCTTCATTATCATTATGAGGCTGCAGAGCTCCTGGTGTCCGTTGACGTGATGTTTGTCTGTTTGTTCTTTTTCCAGGCCAACATTGGACAAGATGAAGACTTCGAAGCTGCTCGGGCCAAGGCTGTAAAACTGGGCGCAAAGAAGGTGAAAAAGATCAAAAACTGTTTTAGGAAATGTTTTTGCGGTTGTGGTCATATTGAAGCGTTTGTGGTAATTACAGGCTTAGACTTGTTGATGATTAATTACGGGCACGATTAATCGCGATTACGAATTTGTTTTTAATGAGTATATCATTTCATTTTAAAGTTCTCCCACTTGCACCTAACATCAACTCTCCTGGTCCTGCCTCGTGTCCCCTGTGCAGGTCTACATCGAAGACATACGTGCGGAGTTCGTAAAGGACTTCATCTGGCCGGCCGTCCAGGCCAACGCTGTCTATGAAGACCGCTACCTGCTGGGTACTTCGATAGCACGACCCTGTATTGCACGCCATCAAGTAGAAATTGCCAAAAAGGAAGGTGCTCAGTTCGTGTCCCATGGCGCCACAGGAAAGGTAAGGTGGACACGGAACATGGACCCTGCAATGTATGAGGACAAACACTGATCAGTAGTCTACACTGTTGAGATACAGTATATGTTCAATAGGTGGTGCTCATGTTTAGTGAAGTGACACGTCGGTCATCAGTCGGGATGCATCATGAATCATTTAGAAAGTATCACAAATGAGTGACAATTCACATCGGTTGAAAAACAAAATGAGTCAAGCCGTAAGGAGTAGGCGGCAGTATTTCAAAAAGTCAGTGGTCATACCGTGACACTACACACTCTAGTACAGCAGGTGGCAGTATGCACCTAAAAACGTTGGCTGTGACCCAACCAAAGTCAGGTCCCCAAGTAGCCTAAGTGACATTCAGGTGTTGAAACAGAACGTGGGAAAAACTTTTTCCACAGACACTAAAAAAAAAGATATAAAGTGCTGAAAACAAAGCATCTGTTCAACTAAGATGTACTGCAGTATTTGTACAGCAACCTAAAAATAGTTGAACACATTTTACATGATTCAGCAGGTCAAAGGCTAAAGGTTGTCAACACGTGAACTGGACCTGAGGCCACATGGTTAATCAGGCTAAATATTGACCAATTTAACCTGGAATGTATTGAACTAAAGAAGGTCCTGTAGTAAGAAGGAAAAGAAACAAGTATGCACACAGTAGAATTCAGTTCATAAAATAAAACAAAAGTATCACAGAGGGAAAAAAATATTCTGATCCAAGAATACACGCTGAAGACTGTGAGGGTGAAATTATGACAAACAAGAATAATGATACGCAAAACGAATGTTTCAGGACGTCAGATCTACTGTATTAGAGGAAAAAAACTTTTTTTTTCTGCATCAACAGCATTATTTTAAAGTTCCTCAAAATATAAGAGAACCTCAGTGTGTGTGTGTGTGTGTGTGAAGGAATGTCTCCAAGTGTTTGTTAAAATTAAAGATCCTTTAATTATTTAATAACCCGATTAACGTTGCCAAAAGACACATGTTGCTGTGTCCTTTTTATGTACAGGTTAAAATAATAATAATATATACAGTATATATAAAAATAATAACGAGCAGAATCAAATATTCTCTCTCTGTCTCACACAAACACACTGTAAAAGTGCAGCTAAAGCAGTTTTGACTTTAAATAAAGCTGACGCTGTCAATGCTGGATGTTGTGGACAGATAAACATGTCTCCGAGTGTTAAGAAATATGGAGAAGTATTGTCCGGACCCCCACCGCAAAACCCACCGCTGTCTGGTGGAGAACTATGAAATAAAATAACATTCCAGAACATTCCCCTCTCCCGCCACAATAAACACGAGAGCTACTTTATATTATACACAACTAGAGTTACATTTGTAGCATTTACCACTAGCAAAACAATTTCTGAAAATGAACGGTTCGTTCCACAAAACTGCTTTTTCTCCATTCAAAATAAAAAAAAATTCTGTCAAAATTCAGAGTTTAGGCAGACTAGGCAGAGAACGCCACTGCATCACAGTCCGTATTTGGTTTGGGCGGTTTCTTTGTTTTTAAAACGAACAACACGATGTGGTCGCCAACTATGCAGAGACCGCCACTGCATCACAGTCCGTATTTGGTCACTAGGTGGCGACAAACACCAACTTTTCAGATTACACTCATCGACTAAAAGTTTGAAATACCGCGAAGATGTACTGATTCTCTGCTTCTTTATTTTTCAGGGTAACGACCAGGTCCGCTTTGAGCTCACGTGTTACGCCCTCTACCCGGAAGTTAAGGTGAGTCTTTTTAATTTAACGAAACGAATACGTGTTTTTTTATGTTAAGACAAAGTAATGAGCGAATAAATTGTTGTTTATTTATCTGCTCAGATCATCGCACCCTGGAGGATTCCTGAGTTTTATGGCCGTTTCAGGGGAAGAGTCGACCTGATGGAATACGCACAGGTAACGGATGTCAACAAAAACACATTCTTTCTGTTGTAACAGTTCACAATTTTGTAAACAAAAACAAAGAAAATGTGTTTTAATTTTCAGACAGTCCACAAACCATTTCTCTCCAGGATCAGTAAACATGATTGTTTCTTTTACACGTGTGTGTGTTAGCCACAGACGTCATTTACTGTGTTTAAAATAAATCAATAAAAATGTGTTCACCACAGACACAGGGGCAGTGGTGTTAGGGCCTTACAGCACCAACGTCACAGGTTCAAGTCCCACTGGTAACGGACAGTCTCTCTGTATGGAGTTAGCATGTTCGGCTCGTGTGTGTGTATTTCCTCCCAGTCCAGGTGTCAATGTGAGTGTGAATGGTTGTTTATATTTATACTATTAATACGAGGGCCTGTTGAACCACCGTGTTCCCTGAAGAGAATATAAAATATAAATGAATGAATGAACCGGTATCAATCATGGTGTGAAGTATCTGTTCGTGGTTTTGTAGTATTTGTGTTCATTTCTCTCAGATCGAACTTCCGCCTACTTTTGCCCACTAGAGGGCGGTCATGATATTTCAACGACATCGACTTGGTTCATTGAGAAATTTGGACTGAACGACTAACCTGCTTTTAAAACACACATACATGTGTTTTAAATCAATACAGTGGGTTTTTTTAAAACACATTCACTTGTGTTGAATATGTACAAACTCCTGAAAATCTGAAAGCTTTTTTTTTTCTTTCCCTCCTTTGTGACACTTTAGAAGCACGACATCCCGGTGCCTGTGACTCCTAAAGCTCCTTGGAGCATGGATGCCAACTTCATGCACATCAGGTGAGTCGGACATCTGCTCAGTTTTATATCGTGGTGTTGAGAAACCAAAGGACACTAATGGGCCCAATGGATTATTTTTTCCACAGCTACGAGTCCGGCATTCTTGAGAATCCCAAGGTAAGAACCAGTTTAGAATCTGAATTGACTTTGGTGACGGAGTATTACAACAGACAAATACAAGAAATGTGTTTGTTTGTTTGTTTTCTGAACTCTGTTCTAAAGTGGCTGCAAAAATGTGGCCAACTGATGAAATAAGAAATAAACTGCAGACACAGACAACAAAGATGGACGACACTAATATGAAGCAAAACAGATAAGTTGAGCTGTTCGTAGGGCTATAATATACATGTGTCAAACTCGAGGCCCGTGGGCCAAATGTGGCCCGCCAAGTCATTCTGCATGTCCCTACATTTGGATTTCTCCATTATGGAGTAGTCACATTTGTTCAGCCTTACAGTTACAACCGGCCCTTTAAGGGGAACTGTATTACTGATGTGCCCCCCCCCTGGTGAAAATGAGTTTGACCCCCCTGACCTATAATAGACAGACAGAGACAATTAATGATTCACACTTCCGTTCACACCTGTTGCCAAATAAGCATTTGGACGAATATTTCACGTTAAACGTCAGCTGTCACTTCCTCAACGACGGCAGACACTAAAAAAAAAACTGTAAAAATAACATGGCGTTACGCCGACCACTGCCCCACGTCACTCACGCAAGCTGTGATTCGAGTCTCCCACAGTGTCAGGGCTGAGGCGGTTTGATCTCAGCAGAGGTCCGAGGTCAGGGCAGTACGTACAGGTTGGCCCCAGTGACCCCTGAAGAGCCCATCCCTCGGTCCCTGTGTCTGTTTCTGTGTCTGTCTTTACCCCTGGTCCTCGCCGGGCCCTGGGAAATAGCCCGGGACACACAGACACTGACTTGTCGTCAGCAACGCTTCGACTAATTCCCGATTTCATGGGAGCTGGGGAGGGAGGGGGAGGGTTAGGGCGTTGTGCCCAGCCTGGGCCTCCTGGGCTCCAGCCCCAGCTCTTTCGGGACTTTATTGTTCCGCAAGTTTTGCTGCCGCGGGCTGCGACGTGGGAGGGGAGCCATTTCATCGTGACACCGTGACACCAAAATGTCATCAGTAACAGTAAAGTACAAAGACAGTGCGCCAGACAGATGAGTCCCCAATGGAAGGGGTATCACAGGGAGGCGAGGGGTCCCGCACTGCTGGAGTGGAGCTACAAGGGCAGGGCCACTGTAACTCCCAAACCTCTCTCTCTCTCTCTCTGCCTCTCTCTCTCTCTGCCTCTATCTCTCTCGCTCTTGCTTTCCCACCCCTCTGCTGCCTCTTTAGTGGCCTGTGGAGAAATGTTTTGAAAAGAATGAGACCAAACCAGCGCAGAAATGTGTGATGACTGTAGCGTGTGACTGATTTCATTCAGGGGTTTTGTCTTGGTCTTTTCACTCCAATATTGAATCAATTACCGTTAAATACAATGAAATATTTATGGGTCGGTGGCGTCAGTGTGGTGAATACATTAACTCAGACGCACAGAGATGGTCGGATCCTTGAAAATGAGGTGCTGATATTGCTGGTTAGATTCAGACCCGACCAAAATACTTTTTCCCTTCTCTTTTTCGTGGTCGTTCAATTCAGGTTTAAAGTGGACCGTGATATAAAGTGACAAATATAAACAGAGAAGCCAAAAAAAAAAAATTAAAAAAAGTGAATTTCAAAGCGACTTGTCAGATTCTAATCCACCTCAAAGGTCGTCTTGAAGGGGTCTTCTTGTTCTAAGTATCTCCTCTGTATCAGCTCCTTTCTCTCCTCCAGTTACAGCCCTGCAGGCTCAGGGTGGACCCCGACTATTCACAGCCCCCCCGCCCCCACCTGTGGTACAAAGGCTCCTCTCTGCTCGACACACTCAGATTAGGAAATGTCCAAATGGTCGCTCATATGTTCTCCTATTGATGAGCCTCAGCAGAGTTCAGGTTACTCTGTGATTAACACCACATCCTCCCTGATAGCCCTGAGACTCTGATGACCCTGGCACAAAGGTTTTTTTTTTTTAATTATCTCAGTGGCCACATTAACCAGTTTGAAGACTTTCAATATTTATTTTATAAGCTTTTCCAGCACCTCAAACCTGCAGAACATGACCTGTTAGCACACAGTGTTGCTCCTGTTCATTTACACAGAGATAAAGTCCAGACGAAGCCTTTTTCATCAAGACCAGATGTGTCCAGTGTCTCACTTGTTACAGGCCGTCAGCAGATATTTTAGAAGCTCCTGAAACCCTCGGAAAAAACAAAAGTAGCCAAAAATCAAATGTAGGCACCGTTGCGACCCCTGTACTGGCTAATACTTCATCAAATTTACCAAGACGTGAAATTCTAAAGTGACAAATGAAACAAAGATAATTATTCAACTACAGTCAGGATAACAGCTGATTGGTTTTGTCATTACATTTTCAGAAAGATTAAAAAAACTGTTGTCAAATACTGGCTTTTACAATTTGCCTAGATTTTTAAAAGGATGAAATTCTGAAGAATAATTAAAAAACAATCTGGAAATAAACCTGTGAAAAACTGTTTTGGTATCAGCCATTACTGTGAACTGGTAATACCTCACTATCGTTGAATGATTATTACATTTTCTAAATCAAACCTCTTTCAGACTTTCTTCTGTCAGTGTCAGAGTCTGAATTACCTTTGACCTGTTAATTTGAACCGAAAAACAGAAAAAGGATATGACTGGATAATTTTAGAATGAAGCCGGTTATTAAACTGAAGTATATTTTCTCACTGTGGCCCAGTACCAAATGACATACGGACATATGGACCCCTGCCCTAGAGGGTCCATCCCAATGTTTGGTAAGATAAGTTGTAACTGAACAAAGGTCAAATAAGTCCAATAGTAGCCAATACACAGCTTCAGTATCAACAGGAAGTTCATCTTGAATGTGACAGAGGAGTGAATGAACCAGTGGTTACTGAATAACAGTTGATATTAAATCAAATGATAGAAGTTTGACTAATTGTGGCCACGATTCTCTCTCTCTCCACTCTCTCCACACTTGAGCAGTCGGTGCTGCGCCTGAGGCCGACTGACACTCGTCCTGTGTCATTAGAACATCACCTCTGTCTTAATTACGGCCTCCGTCAGTCAGCCTCCTCAGGCCCGCTCTGCCCTTTGATCCCTTGATCCACCGGGCCACTGCCCGTGTTAGGAAGCGTAATGCCAGCTCCGTGGTCACCTGAAGAGGAAGTGAGACTTGTTTTTCTGCCGGTCGCACGGCTGGTTGGCTGCAGAGATGGATGAGCGGGGCTGCCTGCAGGGGAAGGAAGTGGTGTTGTCGGTGTAAGTGTGCATTAGAATGTGTGCTGTGAGGCAGAGAGGTCAGCGTTTGTCATGTGTGCCTTCGCTGCCCTCAGGTCTCATCGGTCTGACCTACCTGGAAATGTGGGCGTCTTCACCCGTGGGTCTCTGCCTCCGTGCTGCGGTTCAGTCCGTCTGAGGCAGTTTAACGTCAGCCACAACGTCCCGGCTGTTAAAAATATAAATGTCATCTCCAGTGCATCATTTTTTATTCCTGTCTCAATTGAACGTTTTCTTCTTTTTTTTTTTTTTTTTTTTTTTACATTTTAAACAGCGGCGCCGTCTTGAAACATGGTGATTTAAGTGTCATTTCCGAGCCATTGCACCAAAAATGTTTTTACCGTTCGTTTCTCTGCTATCGCCCTCTCAACACTCCCCCTCCCCTCACCCCCCCCTGCTCTCCCCCCTCCTGCCACCTCTGCTTTTTTGGCCCCGTTGGCTCCGATTGAAAACCAATGAGGCAACTAATATGTGGAAAGATAGAAATTTACTTGCCTTAAGTTCATGTGTCAGCCTCCTTCTTTGCCACATGGGCCATGTTTAGCACAACAATATAAAAGAGGCAGAGAGTGCCGACGGAGCGGCTCTGTGCGACACGATGGTGCGCTTCACGCCCCATTTCCCACCAATACCTTTCCCCCCCTCGCCGCCTCTATCTCTACCTTTTCCTCTCTTTCAGGGCCACAGCGTTAGGACAGGTCCACCTGCAGGGGGTTGAATTGAAATGCATTGATCTGTGGCTCACTGGAAACTGTCGTATTACCGTACTTTTCCTTTTTGTGTGTGTGTGTGTGTGTGTGTGTGTGTGTGTGTGCAGCCGTAGCCTGTGTGTGTCTTTGTCTCATGGGTTCAGAGGATTTAGTGGTAATGGTTGAAATGCTGCATGATTCTGGGGCCAATCAGAATGAAAATGGTTTTTCAAACTCAGATATATATTTGTTCAAATTTATTCCATCTTATTTATTCCTATATTTCTCAAATGTACTTTCTCACATTTCGGAAGAGTTCATCAAGTAAAAAAAAAATAGGAAAAATAAAATATTTTAGGAAGGCTGTGGGGTCCGTACTATTTAAAGCAAGGCATGATTGGCTACATGTAGTAATGGAAGAATGGAGATGCAAAGGTCATGCACATTCAGCAGCAGGTCCTACACTTGGCTTAATGAACAGAAATGTAAAGACAAAGATACAGATTCCTTTATCGTCATCATACGATACGCATGTAACGACCAAGGTGGTACAACCTCGGGGCGAGCTGCCGTTTCAGGTCGAAACATACGTTGTTAACGTACATAAATACATTAACTTACATTCTTGCCTCCTTAGTGTGGCTAAGAAGCATTAGCAGTGATATAAAACAGTCAAAGTAGTTAAAAAAAAAAGTAAAAAAGTTAGTCTAAATATAGAAATATATAAATATGAAAATACACAACATAAAAGCTGACAAATAATATGAAAACCTAATATGTGGCCAAAAAACTAAATATGTTGGAATCACTCGTGGGGTCCTGGGACGTTTATCACAGTTTTGGGGGTAACTGTATGATAATACGTTTATCACAGTTTTGGGGGTAACTGTATCGGTTGAAAAAGTAAACTAACTGTAAATAGTCCCAACCCTAATTTTTACCATCTTGGCCTAAAAATATTTTTATTGTCAGTCACTGTTCTCTTGCTAACATCGAGGTAGTAGCTGCTGTTACTTACTAAAGACCAAACCTTTGGTTTGTGCTCCTTTTATACCCAACCCGTACAAACACACAGAGCAGCTAACTCTGCACTGACCGTATGAAGAGTCTCCCGAAATGTTTACTTCCCAAGGATCTGCATGATGTAGGTGACAGGGCAACTGAAACAAATGTCTTAAACTGCCAAAGGTCTGCTAAGAAACGGGACACATGATCTCGTACTGTACTGTTTAAGATGCAGATCACCGTTCCTCCTTCAGTGTTTGCCTCAAAACGCTTTTAAGGTGGTGATTTCTCCGCTCTCTTGTTCGCTCTCATTTGGCTTCATTCAAGGCTCTGAGGCAGAAAATAATGGAGAGGGAAGACGACCGCCTCCTCACTCAATTTCAGTGTTCAGTTAAAAGGAAGGAAAGTGATTGTTCTCTCCTCTCTGACGGACGGCGAGCGGATGCCGATTAGTTATTGTATGATGATTTAGTGTCTGGTAAAGCTTTCCGTTTAAATGCACCCGGCAGTTATTTTGCGTAGTCGCCCTGCAATTTAGGCTCAGCTCAGAAGACACTGGTCACCGGCTCGTCCTAATGCCTTCCAATTGTCGGGCCACGTCGCCGCGCGGACACGTGGGACTGCAATCATTTACGTCCCTGAACACGACTTACCCAAAAAAAAAAAAAAAAAAAAAGTGACTCCTACCAACTGGAAAATGACAGCAGTTTTCTGTAGTGGACTGAAGGCTCAGACTCTGAGGTCGTTGATCAAAATGTGTCTTTGAAGAGAAGGAGAAGGAGGAGGTTAACACTGAATGTAGCGAATTTGTTTCCCAGGGTTGAATGTCCAGGAGTTGTGAAATACTGCCCCCTACTTTTTATCTTTTTATTTACCTTATTTGTCTACTTCTCTACTATCTTTTTCAATTGTTTGTGACATTTTTAATTCTAACATTTGTAACCAGAATCATCACTGTCTATACTACAAAGCACATGTGTCTAACTCAAGGCCCAGGGGCCAAATTTGGCCCGCCAAGTCATTTTGTACGGCCCGCGGGAGCTTTAAAGTCCATGGAGCAGAGTATCTCAACCTGAAAAAAAAAGGTTTTCTCTATTTCACAACAATAAACAATACTTACGTGACTTAAATAAATAATGAATCAATTGCAGAACCATGTGTTCATACATGATGTGTTAATGGTTATCTTTTTGTTGTTCTTCCAGAACCACGCTCCAGCTGATCTGTACCTGATGACCACAGACCCCAAAGACTCCCCCAACGACCCTGACCAACTGGAGATAGAGTTCAAAAACGGTCTGTGTCCCTTATGTTGACTTCCTCATCCACTCTCGTTGTTTCAGACTCGCAGCTGTGGGTGTGAATGGAAAGATGTGACAATTTGTGATCTTCAGAAGTAGGAACGTCCGATATTATCTTTTCGCTGATATTGTCCAAACTCTTAATTTCCGATATCAACCGATAGCGGTATTTGCAACCGTGTGCAGCACCACTGCACATGTTTTATTGTGTGCTGTGTCACAGTGACATTCATTCACTTTCACTTCAAAACCACTGTTAGGTCACATCATCTGGGCGAAACCCAGGAATTGCATAATTGTCAGGGGGAAAAACCTGATAACAATTTTTTACCGTTATTATATATTTATGCTAATATTGACCAATAATATCAGTTACCAGATATAATCAGGACAGTCCTATTAAATAGCAACATTATTCAACTTGCTCTTTAAAAAGTCTAACTTTAAGGACAGGGTGAAAGGTGACGTGTGATGTAGTCATCAGTTTAGAATTCAGGTTCATTAATTATTGAGGAAATTAATAGAGAAAATAATTTATTCTTAGTGTTTCAGTTTGCATTTCATTTCAGGTGTAATTAACAACATATAATGTAGGGTAAATAATAATAATTAGGCTAAATGAGGTCATTTGGAGATCAATATATGTGTAACTTGATCATGTGTAGAATAGAGTTAACCTGTTGCCTTAGTAACCAGGTAATTACCAGGTCAAATGTTGACCTGATGACTTTGATGATTTCATCCAAACTTTAACATTTCTCTCTGGATTAAAACGAAAACTTGATGCTGGAGGAAACTTGATCAAAGAACACATTCCAGAACAGAACACTTTCAAGATCCTTCCTTTTTTAATTAATGTCACTTCCCCAAGTCCATTTTCACACTGTGTCCACTCTCAGCTTCATAGCCACAGGGCCACTGCTCCAGTGTTGACCCGGCTAAACTTTATCACCATTCCTGACCACCCAGACTTATCCTTAACCCCTCACTGCTTAACTTTGTCCAAAGCTGCTGTGTTTGGCCTGGGGGGCACACACACACACACACACACACACACACACTGGCCGGAAGCATTAAGTCCTGCTAATACACTGTGCCCTGAGGGAGCAGGGAATCATTAGATATACTGCCACGAGGCCCGGGCTGAACACTGGAAAGTGTCATGTGTTTGCACAAAGTGAAAATGGCCAGAAACGTCCCAGCCTGAGGCCAACGGCACAGATGTGCCTTCATCCCCGTCCGCTGCTGGTGGCTGAGGATCACAAACATCAATTTCCTGCTCAGACACGGACTCCTCTGATGACGGTGACAGGGACCCACGACTTGATCAACCCGTCGGAATTTAGTGAAACACAGAAGAAGTTCTAAAAACTGGGAGTGAATTCAGGTTTAAAAAAACAAAACAAAACAACTTTAATAAAAGTTTTGTTAAAAGTTCAGCTGGGCTGTTGTTTCAGAAGCTGAATCTGCGTCTGCTGTTTTTGAAGTGGTTGCCAGCTTCACTTTACCAGCTCCCTGAAGAAAATGTTTTAACTATAAAAACAAGTGGCCTGGCGTGGTTTCAGACGGGGATGAGCGCCTCGGCTTTTGTAAAAGCGTGATGCCGTGGTAAAGCCGCGGTCCGGTTGTGTGGGTTCATCGCAGGCCTGCGCTCCATTTTCACACATATTCTTTGCCTTTATTGAGCGACCAATGACAAAAGATGTTTTAGTTGTCCACACAAAGGCCCGAGCCTACTCCTCCCTCTGAGCACAAGATCAGCACAAGAATGTTTCGTTTCATTCCCCCTCCCACCTTTTCATCCCTGCCTTTCTCACCAAAGTTTTCTCACTGATTAAAAAAGAATATTTAACGTCAGGAACCTTTTTTCCCCGTCAAACACTCCATTCCCGTTACTTTTTTTTAAAGCAAAAAAAAAAAAAGACAAAAAAAAAAAAAAAAGACAAAAAAAAAAAAAAAAGAGAAAAAAAAAAAAAAAAGAAAAAAAAAAAAAAAGACAAAAAAAAAAAAAAAAGAAAAAAAAAAAAAGAAAAAAAAAAAAAAAAAAGAGAAAAAAAAAAAAAAAGAAAAAAAAAAAAAGACAAAAAAAAAAAAAAAGAAAAAAAAAAAAAAAAGAGAAAAAAAAAGAAAAAAAAAAAAAGACAAAAAAAAAAAAAAAAAGACAAAAAAAAAAAAAAGAGAAAAAAAAAAAAAAGAAAATCACCCCTCCCTCCTTTCATGCCAAAGAGGTGGAGAGGAAAAGAAGACAGAGAGGAAAAATGTAAAGCAGTAATTTTTCCTACAACTGTGTCTGCGCTCCCATTGTCTGCCCTGTTAGGCTGCGAGAAGCGGAGAAAAGGATCTGGATGGAGAGAAGAAAAAAAGCCCCTCAGCCGATGATAGAACCCTCACGAGGGGAAAAGAGCGAGCGCAGGAACGCAGGGCCGGCCCCTTCACTCCCACGTTACCTTCATTTATTTGAACGTTTAATCTAATTATTAGGTACCGGGGGGGTGGGGGGGCGTGGCCTCAGTAATACTCCGTCCATAGGTACTTCTTCTCTCTCCCATGGGAGCTGCCACCGCTCCGGCAACATGTGAACGGGGCCTCAACAAAGCCCTTGTCCAACAAAATTTGTCAAGTCCTTCACGTGTCCGTCGGTCCCAACAGGGAATTGTAAACAGTCGGCGAGGGGCGAGCAGGAACTCCTCTGCTCCGACTGACGTCTGTGAGCGTGTTGACGGGCGTGATCGCCCCAGAGAGTGAGAGAGTGCGAGAGTGAGTGAGCGAGTGAGTGAGTGGAGACTTTTCTACAAGTTAAATTCCATAATCATCACATACACAATTGTCCCATTTGGGACGATCTCTGAGGCAGTGGTTCCCAAAATGGGGGGCGGGTCCCCCTTGGGAGGCATAGAGTCATTGCAGAAGGGTCACAGCAGGGCAACTTAATTTATTTTTTTAAATCTATTTTGATATTTATATATATATTTTGATTTATATATAATACACTTGTATTTATTATATATATGTATGTTAATATATAAAATCATATATATGTGTGAATATATAGAATGATGTATATATGAACCTAGATAAAGGCAGTACTAAAACCCCTAATCCTATTGACTTACTAAAGTAAAGTACTAAAACCCCTAATCCTATTGACTAAATTGGACTCTGTAAATCAGACACAGTTGACCCTAGGGAACTAACCTTTAACCTTTGACCTGTGTCAAGTTTTTTTTCTAAAAATCTAAAAACATTAAATATTTTCACCGTGGGGGATTTCACAATTATTCACAAGTATCTACGGGGAAATGGTGGGATTCACTCACGTTCAGTTCACCAGTCCATCTCAGGGCCACATACAGAGACGACCAACCATTCACACTCACATTCACACTCACACTCACACTCACACTCACATTCACACTCACATTCACACTCACATTCACACTCACATTCACACTCACGGGGAGAACATGGAAACTCCAGGAATGGAAACTCTCACACCAGGGATCTTCTTGCTGTAAAGGCCAGCGTTCTACCAACATCTGCCACCATGTGGCCACCATCTAGAACAAGTGGGAACCTGCTGTGTGGTGACACCAAAACCTGTAGTGACAGACCCAGCAAACACACACTCACACACTCACAAACTCGCACTCTTGTTTTTTCACACACGTCTGTGTTTGTTTGCTGCGTCCACCTTTGGCCCGTGTTGAATAAGCAGATCTGTGACAGTGATTGATGGGAACTGGGTTTAAGTGGCTCTTGGTAGGAGACGCATGTGTGTGTGTGTGTGTGTGTGTTTGGGCCTATTAGAGCTCTTTCTGCCTACAACAACGACCTTGCCAGACCCTGTGTCGGTCCAAGCTAACGATGCTAAACCTTATTTTTGAGGCTTTGACTGAAGAGCTGTGGTTTGGGTAAAAAGTGATAAAGTTTAGGTAGAAATCCTCGCACATCTCCGCAGGATCTGATGGATCTCAAAGTCCCCCGCGCACACACACACACACAAACACACACATACATACACACAAAATCAGAGTGCTAAAGAGAGACGGGCTAACATTTCTGCGTGTGTAATTGAATTAGGTAACGGCCTGCCCACAATTTCACAGCCTTCAAATAAGCAGAGCCTTTGAATTTATTAGCCATTCTCAGCAGCAGCACCTTTTGTAATGCTTTTCTTTTTCAGCTGACAACTATTGATTTCAAAGGCTAAGAAAATGAGCACTTGTCAGATTTTTTTTTTTTTTTTTTTTCAAAACACAGCGTGCTGTTTTTAAAGACCTGAGTTTGGTCTGTGGGTTTTTTTGTTGTTGTTGTTGTTGTTGTTGTTGTTCCATCATAACAGCACAGTTGAACTAGAATTGTCTTTCTCGGTCCTTCGTCACGATGACGTGTTGGTTTTGTCTTGACTGCGTTGTCCTTGTCCTCCAGGTGTACCGGTCAGAGTGACCAACATGAAGGAGGCGGTGTCCAAGGACTCCCCACTGGAGATCTTCTCCCTCCTCAATCAGATTGGGTGAGTGTGAGTTTGGTCCAGTCATCATAACAGCAACAGATCATATAAAAAAGTTCAGTTAAAGACAAATCGTATAGAAATGATGTTGTTCAATTAAGTAATTAGATTTAAAAATAATAATAATAATAAAAAAATCCGTATAAATCTTTTTGTCTGTTTTTAATTTCTGTTTGGTCAAAAAGTTCTAAGACAACGTAAAGGAGCATTTCTACATTTCTAACCAGTTTCATCACCGTACTGTGTTGAGCTGTGTTTTTATAACTTTCAAAATGAACATATTTTTCAACCACGTTGAAATGAAAACTTGCTGAAATGATCTGGAAAAGTTTCATCTGACGTCGTTCTTCTCCCAAAACTGAAAGAAAGATTTTTGGAGATTTTATTTTGATAATGAAAGCGGAAACTTTGACACAACCTTATGTGATTAAATTAAGGAGAACTAAAATGTTTTTTTTCTTTTTCTTAACCTCAAGAATAATTTCAATTTCAGTTGGTTAAATGGTGAAAAGAAAATACATTTATTGAAAATAATTCCTGCTAAGACAAAGTGACTTTTACATCTAAACAAAATGAAACGAAAGTGTAAATCACGTGTACGTGTCAGTCATATGTCAGTGCTGTCCAATCACAGTTGTCTGTCTGTCCTCGTCTTCCTCTCAGAGCCAAACACGGCGTCGGCAGGATTGACATCGTAGAGAACCGTTTCATCGGGATGAAATCCAGAGGTAAGGAATTAAACCTCCACCTGATACTTAACCTGTCTTCACTTCTGACACCTTTTTCTTCTCCTGGTGATGAATCGCTCTGACAGATACAGGGATATATATTTGCTGTATTTTAATTTTCGCTTTTTTCAAAAAACCTTTCCTTTTACTGTCCACGGCTTTTCATGCCATCTGCACTTATTTTACTTGAGTGCTTTAAGTGTGACAGCCGCACTCCTCTGCCTCCATGAAATGGCAAACACACTCTGCTGGAGGAAAACTCTTTTCCTCCGATTCACCTGCCGTCACAGATTCCGACGTGTCAGAAACACATGTACAGAAAACACATGAACTCGAGCAGGGCTGCAGTGACATTAGACTCGTACATGTCTGGAGTGATTTCAGTTGTTACACCAGCTCAGGTCAACTGAAATCTGGAGTGATTTCAGTTGACCTGAGCTGGTGAGGTCATGTGACCATTCTACTCCTCTACTTCTTCATTTATTTTTTTGAAGTCGATCTGTGTCTGTGTTCCTCCAATTCTACTGGCAGCTAATCTATTTTTACTTTTGAAAAATATATATTTACATATATTTGTGTGTAAATATATTTAAAAATATATGTGTATATATGTACATATATACACATACAGTATATATCCATATATGTATATATCCATATATATATATTTATACATAGTAATATATTTATACATATATTTATAAACCTTTTCTCTTGTTGTTATTCTTTTGATTTTGTCCACTTGGAATCTATGGTAGGTTACAATATTATAGTCACGTATATAAGTTTTTTAGGTCAAGAAGCAAATATATAATATATATAAATATATAATCCTTGACAAAAAGAAATTCAGTCAGGAATATATTTAGTAATGACTAAAAGAAGAAGATTTAGAAGATACAACTTGTTTACTGAGTATTAATTCTGTGAAAGAAATTCAATATATTACTATGATGTTACTGTATTCATTTAGACTGAAATAAGCTCAGTGTTTCTGTGCTCAACTGATGGCTCCAACGGTCTGTAGAGTAATGGACGTCACCACAGAAAGTACACAAGGACACTGAGCTGTATGAGTGTGTGTGTGTGTGTGTGATAGATACACAATACCAACACACACAGGTACAGATACACACTCCTCTTCCCCCCAGACTCTGTGTGCTGTGATTGGCAAATTGACTTGCCGACAGACTGTGGCTGTGGTGCAGCTTGGCAGGTAGAAATTGGAAAATGGCAAGAGCACTTTTCTTTTCCTTTGGTTGAACAAAAGATCAAGGCTTTTTTTCCGCCGAAGGAGGAGGTGGAAGCGCGAAGTGTCCGAGCGTTTGAATGACTGCCGTGGAGTGCACACGTCGGTTCTCCTGCGGAACGACAGTGGTGTTGGCACAATGGATGATGGGAGGCTTTGAATGGTGACATGTCATAGTTATTTGTGCGGGGTCATATTTATTTGTGTGGGGTCAGGTGGGCGGAGCGCATCGAAATGGATTGCGGGGGGGGGGGGGGGGCCCAGGCCCACAAAACACCCAGCAGCACAACGGTTCCCCCGTCACAGACAGATGTGCTGCCGAGATATGTTGAAGATGCTAGAAAGAGGAAATCACAGAATGTAACAGCCTAATTATGGATGAATATGAATGCAATCAGCTCTTATGTTGCAATATACGTGCAAGAACATGGCATGGATTTACTATTAAGAGTCATGAAGCCATTGTTCAGTGTGTTATATGGGATACTTGAGTTAATTAAACTTAATCTTATGTAGTCAAATAATTGCTTTTAATAAATCATTCAACTTATTAAATCAATCATTCAATTTTTATAGCATTTTCAGCTTATGAGCCAAGAATTAAATGTTAGCGTTGGTCGAGATCAGATAAATGCTACAAAACTGATGAAAAATGTTTGACGTTTCCTGGCATTAGCCTCTGTTGAGGGACATTTGTGGACGATACGACGAAGACACTTCATGTCAGACTTTTAACTAACCTTAAGCTAGACCTAACCATTGGCCCGAATTGATTAAAACAAAGTGTATTTTTATGGCAGTGGTTCTCAAACTATGGTATAACTACCACCCCTGGTGGTACTCAGGGAAGTATCAATTAGGACTAGGTGAGTCATGTAGTATTTATATATTCTTAGCTGACATTATATTGTAAATGAACAATGCAAACAGGCTCATAATAAAGTGATTTAGTTATATATAAATTCTTATATGTAAATATATATAATTTTATATATGTCTTTGTAAACTTGTGCTGAGCTGAACAGACCAGACCTGAATATCAGTGTTGGTCATACTGGTCGTTTTTTGATACTAAAAAAACAGAACCAAAGATTCAGGCCATAGAGAGGACAAATGTTTTAATATGTATTTTCCACTGTAGATATTCTGTGAATATCTAATTGTATTATTATTGCTTTTCAGACACCTAACTTGACTACTTATTAGTCATTTCTCTCTGTTTTTTTTTTCTAAGTTGTCAAAATACCACACACCCAAATAACATTAAAAAGAGAAACGTTTCAGCCGTCAGGTTGACTCAGTGTAGAGGTAATCTTCGCCGATCTCATACTTTACACTTGCACCAGCTCCAACTGTCTGCAGATGAAGGATGCAGTCATAAAGCTCTGGTTTTCAGTTTGGGCAGCATTAAATGTCTGGGTGTCAGCTGCTGGTTTACTTTTAGCTCTGCCAGATTCCTCTCCTCCCTATGCCCAGCTGGGACACAAAAAGTCACTCAAGAGTAGTGTAATTAACTGGAGTTTAATTAAAGGCTGATCTGAGAGAAAGCGAGCAGAGAAAAGGTGAAATTAAAGACTTATAAACTAAGAAAATGACACGCTTAACAAGCTCACTTTCCCCATTCAGCCATGTAATTTGCATGTGAGCTCTTTACAGTGAGTACATCTATGATGGCGTTGGCTCAGCCTTGGCTTTTATTATAATTATGAACTTGTGTCTGCCACAGCCTTCTCAGACAATCTCTATTTAAAGATCAGTAAGTAAAACATTACTTACGATTTTGTATAAAAGAACAAACATTTTATGTTCATAAAAGTTGATGATTAGTCTCCTTTGTGAACTGTTTTGAATTCATAGCTTTCAGGACGCGGTGAAAGCAGTGGTGAAGTAGTTTGACGGAATTTATCTGTGACCAAACCGAGATAAGTGAGGAACAGGAGCTGGTCCAAGCTCAGTGTAGCTATTTACCCCAGAGGGAGTACAAATAGCTACAAGCTGTTCTGCTTCTTGTCATCACTGCAGTCAAAACACACACACACACACACATATGATACTCCTCACTTAAAGATTTTCTAGAGTTTCTATGTCACCGTGTGCGCAGCGATCATCCACTGCAGTGGAGTACAATTAACAATGTGATATAAACACAGTTAACTGTTCAGTCACTCTTTCACCAACAGTCTTGGGAACCCTTAAAAGTGGTGAAAATGTGAGAGGGAGCCACCCAGCCTGAGTAACAACATCCACGTTCTACACCCAGACTATTGCTGGCGTGTCTTTAAATGATATAACATGTGACCAGTCAAACTTTGACTTGGCAGATGATAAAGATGGAAATATGTGGAACTCCCATTCAAATTAAATGAAATTAGGAGATGATATGTTTTCACAAACGATGAAAATGTGATAACCATCTGTGAATTTAAACAGCTCTGGATCTGCCAAGCCATCGGCGCAGCCTGCAGACCTACAGCTTTAACAGATGCTGTGGCGTGTTAAACTGAGCGGCAGCTCCCACACAGTTCAGTCCTGGTGAGAGATTGTTGTCAACTAGTACAGTACACCTCCGATTCAAGGAAAAGGTTAACAGCGATCCGTGACACTGACAGCAGTTCAGCTCTTTTTCAGGTCCGAACCTCGTTCTCTCGAAAAAAACGAAAAAGTCAAGCACAGCATCTGTGAGCAGAGCTCTGAACCCCACACTACACACTGACACCGGGAGGTTATTAACGGTTCAACTGGAAATGGTCTTTTACCAAAGGTTTTGATTAAGGCTGCTAAAATCTGATTAATCACAGGCTAGCTATGGATTAGTCATGACAGACTATTATTTAGTAAATCAACTTTCCTAAATATGACAAAAAACACATACACTTGTTTTTATTTGTTTATTTTATAAACAATATATCTTTGAATATATCTACACACTGTATATAACTGTAGTTTTACATTTTTCTTGGAATAGACCACAGCTGGGAAAGTCTTGACCCATTTGGGGGGGGGGGGGGGGGGGGGGGGGGCGAATAGAAAGGGTTGGGGGGGGGGGGGGGATGTCACAGTCGTACAAAACATCCAGCAGATGAATGTTTCCCCACCTGTCAGGCTGCAGTCAAACCTCTGACCTGAGCGCAGGTGACAGCCACCGCTGAGCTACTTTGCTGTCGTCGAACTCCGCGGCTTTGGAAAAAAAAAACAACAACAACGTTTGAATCGGTGACGTCGCTGTTTGGTTTTTTTTAGCCCTGAATTAAAACCGTTCTCTCTGAGCTGATCCTCCCGTTCCTGATGTTTATCTGCATTCATTTACATGATGCCTGTTTATGCTGCACTCACAGCAGCTGTTTGTCTTTTTAATCTTTACTAAACTGCCACCGTGGGAGATTACCCAGACTGCAGTTCTCTGTCGCTAAGCACACTCTCCTCTGAAGCACTTAAGTAGCACCAAGTAGTGTTGGAGGGCAGTTTTAACTCATTTATCTGATCTGAGCCGACCCTACGTGCCCCCCCCCCCCCGCCCGGGTTAGAACGGCCACGAGTCTCATCAGCTCAGGGTCATCGTTGTCTTTTTTAGGAGCTGCACAATTAGCTGAGCCCAGTGATTGGACAATGGGATTTAAGGTTGGAGGAAAAAAAAGATAATAGACAAGTGAAGGATTTTTTTTGTTACCTTCAGGATCTGCTCTTATATTTTTCTTCAACTTCCATGAGTAGAAAACAGGAGAAAAAAAACTATCGATACGTCAGAACTGTCCTCCAGCATTTTACCCTGCCCCCCCCACACCCCACCCCCCCCCCCCCCCAGCCATATCAACATCAGCATCACAATCATTCTAGAAGCCTATTGGGAAA